TCAAAGTCCATCTCTTCCCTCCTGGCTTGAGCATCTTCTCTGAGATATGAAAGGAAAGCAGAAAATATCTTCTCTATTAAAACCCCTCATCTCTTCATAAATTTGTACACTCTTCCAAGTTTTATTCCCGAATGTTAGAGTCTGTAAACAAGTCTGGATGGCGCCTGGCAAAATGCCAGAGGGAGTGGTTTGTGAAGTAACGCCAGCGAGCCATTAAGTGTGGAGATTCCTTATTGGTTGACTGATGTATCTAGTTTATGCTAATTAAGATAAGCTGTGTGGAATGTATACATACCCCTCCTGTCCTACAATAAACGGCTCCCACTCCTGCTATATCAATCTACACAAGTTGTTCCTCACCCCCCGGTTATTTTGCTGCAGCCGGACTGCGGCACCCAAAGTGATGGATGAGTTCAAACAGACAGAGGTGAGAGATTGGAATGTTAATATCTGAGGTCTCAAATGATTCTCTCCTTCCTATGACAGCATTGAATGAGCTTCCACTAATGTTAGCACCGACATCTTCAAACCATCATTCATCGTGGGGAAAAGGTGATCCATACTCATATCAGGATCTTCCTTCTTCCTTACAGGTTTCATTCACTTCCATGTATGGCTTGTATAACCCCAAATGGCCAATAAATTTCATTTAGGCATATGGCCTCTGAATTTAACATATTCATCTCATATTGTGCCATTGGCCATTGCATTCATGGCTACGTTCATTCAACAGATACTTACTTAGTACCTATTGTGTGCCAGCGCTTGTGTTCAGTCTGGGAAACAACAACAAGAAGACACACAAAAATTTATGATTCAATGGGGCTCCCATTTGGATGGGATGGGGAGGCAGGTCATCAGTGAAGTCCATACATTAATTCTATCCTAGGTGACAATGTTGTAAGTACTCTATGGGAATATAACTCAGAGAAGGTAGGTTAGTTTGGGGGCAGATAGGGTGACTTTTAAATTAAACATTCCAATAAAGATTTATTAAAACCAATTTGAACCAATCCATGGAAAAAAAATGGTGGAAGGAGGTGGTTATATATGTCAAAGGGTGGGATGTGTGTTGAACCCATATCAGTGGGAGAAAGAGAACGAGGAAGAGAGATTCAGAGAGTAAACGGATTGGAAGGAAGC